TAATATTTAATTGACAGTCTTGTTTCAGTATTAACATCTAAATTTAACTTACTGGTGTTACAATGATTGAAGTGAATATCTAATATCTGTTACCATCTTGTAATTATCAGTGACGATGAAGCAGTTTAAATGTTGTGATTAAATCAAATGTATATTTCTAAAACAAAAATAAATAACGTCTTTAACCATACTAAAAAGAAATAAAATTAGAGTTACATGCTAACATGATGTCACATATATGTTATTGAGCTTCTATTTCGTATAATAATTACTTACAAGACCGGTAAGAACTAGAAATATTCAGTTTAAACTTTAGAGAAATCGAAAAATTCGTTACAAGAACTAAAATTAATGTTTTTCATTTCACATTGAACCAAAAATACATACTTATAAAATAAATTGTGTGATGTATACCTGGTTTGCTGTTCTTTTTTACCTTAAAGAATAACGAACATTTATCTCAAAAACACATTGAATTAATTTTTAAAGTTCAAATAGGTTAGATAAAGAAAGTCAAGAACATTCATAATTTATGTAGGAAAATATTTTTTAACAACTTTTTTTTTACCACTTAGAACAAAATTATTTTTTAAAATAATTTAGTATTTTAATTTATTTAAGGTTGAAAAATTGACATATTTTTGTAGATGAACTTAAGATAACCCATCATTATTTAGGATTTAATTTGTTAAGATTGTGTGTTTTTGTCCGTAAAATTAATTTCTCTGAACACATATTTTGTAAGTATTTATTTATAAAATATATTAATTAAATGGAGAAAAGAAGGTTATCTAGATATTTTTGGTCGAAGAGAGAGGAAGAAGAGCAGAGAAATGGTGGTTGGGAGAGTTGCTGTTCCAAATCCTCCCTCCGGTCTGTTCCACAATCCTTCTTCTGCTGCCACCCTCATACCTCCACACATTCGTCTTCTCTCTTTCTCCGCTTCCGCCGCCGCCTCCTCCTCTTCCTCCTCCGCCAATCGCACTCGTCACACGTCCACTACAAAAAGCGATTCTCCCTTCTCAACGTTCGGAAGAGTCAAGAGTCAGAAACCGAAAACTCTGCTCCACAAAAGCAGGGACCGAAGACGCGCCCTTCAAGTTGAAGAAGAAGAAGAAGAAGAAGACGATAATGATGATTATGATGATAATGACGACTACTATGACAATCTCGCAGCCCCAAGAGGAAGACCTTCTCGTTCTGGGTCTCGGTCAGGTGGACGAAAACGAGGAGGATGGGATATCATTCCCAGGTTTCCCTCACAAGCCAAATCAACCACTGACACAAACTTCTTCAGTCTCAAGTCATTTAAAGAAATTGGGTGCGCTGACTACATCATTCAATCCCTCCAAAAAATCTTCTTAACGCGCCCTTCCCATGTACAGGTACCTATTCATTCATTCGCTCCTACCATAATTCACTCATGCTCATATGCTATCTCCTTTTGTTGTTGCTTTAAGCTTTATGCTATTTCTGACAAGTTCGTTGCAATGAGTAATTTGATTGTGTATTGCATGTGTAGGCCATGGCATTTTCTCCTGTTCTTAGCGGAAAGACTTGTGTCATAGCTGACCAAAGTGGTTCTGGAAAGACATTAGCTTATCTTGCACCAATCATTCAGCGTCTTAGACAAGAAGAACAAGAAGGACGTAGTCAATCCTCTTCGCAAGCTCCTAGAGTGCTGGTACTCGTACCCACTGCAGAGTTAGCCTCTCAGGTCAAATCCTCCTTTCTTAATCTGTCTTATTGTTTTGCTTGTTTGAACCCTTTGAGAGTGGTGTAACTCTGCTGTTCATCTAATGCACTATTGCGTGCTTCGCAGGTCTTGGATAATTGTCGATCCTTGTCAAAATCTGGGGCTCCATTCAAATCTATGGTTGTCACGGGAGGTTTTCGACAACGGACTCAACTGGAAAATTTACAGCACGGAGTTGATGTCTTAATAGCAACTCCTGGCCGTTTTTTGTACCTCATGAATGAAGGCTTCTTGCAGTTAACAAATCTAAGATGGTAAAACTTGATCTCTTATTTATTGAATTGTTTACTACCATTACAGATGTTTACATTGATTTTCTGTTTTATCATCAAACGGGCAGTGCAACTAATTTACGCGTCCATTTAGGATATTTTATCTATCCATGCCCTTTTCTTCCTCAACGCGTGTCCATTTAGGATATTTTACCTATTCACGCTGATTGTGAAATTTTTCTTTACAACAATTTGTTTCAGTGCTGTGTTGGATGAGGTAGATATTCTCTTTGGTGATGAGGACTTTGAAATGGCTCTTCAATGCCTGATCAATTCTTCACCGGTTGACACACAGTATCTATTTGTGACTGCAACTTTACCAAAAAATGTTTTCACCAAATTGGTTGAAGTTTTTCCCGACTGCGAAATGATTATGGGGCCTGGTATGCATCGAATAAGTTCTCGCCTCGAAGAGGTCAGGTTTCAGTTGTAACTTTCTTTTCTTTCTATTTCATTTTTCTTGGGCAGAAGACAACATTACAGAATATCAAAAGACTTATCTATGAATATGTTGACTCAGTACGGGAAAATTCAATGGACTTAGTACGAGAAACATAATCACTTATTGTCTCCAACGTGATATTTAAATTGAATTGTTTTACTTAGGAGCTATATATATAGAGAAGGGGAGGGGATACATTTATCCCAAGAATAAGTGTAAGTAATTACTCTTAATCTGATCCTACTATTTTATTTTAGATTAATGATTCAGATTAAGAATATATATGGGCTCTCACGTGAAATTTGTTTTCCACTTCCTACCTTTATCTTCCTGTTCGTAGTTATGTAAAACTATTAGGAAGGATTTTACTTACCCATGGTGAATCTTAATCTGGACTTTCTATCTTATTTTAGATCAATGGCTCATAATAAATACTTAAAAGGCTACTCTTGATAAAGCAGTGAGTAATAATCATCCCCTAATACTCTCCATAACTATGAACAGGAAGATAAAGGTAGAAAGTGGAAAGAAAAATTTGAATAAAGTGTAGAGTTTTAAATACTAAATTTGAGCAGTTAATGTAAAATAAAATACAAGGTTCAGATTAAGAGTAACTCATTATAGTTACTCTTTACTCTTGGAGTAAGTAGATTCCTCTACTACACACGATCACACACACTGATGGGGAAAGGATTCTCTGTATTTGAGGTTGGACCCAAGAAAGGATGAAGGAAGAGGATCAGTATTGTATTCAGCACCTCTACTCAATCAAGGAAAATTCAATGATTAATAGCCAATCTAGGCTATCTAAAAGAATTCAATTTAACTACTTTAACAAATTGCCAACTCAGCACTAACAAAATCGAACAGGAAATTATAGAACTTATTGTTCCTCTCCTCTTGGTAATAGACATATTCTGAATTTCTTTTCTGTTTAGCAATCCTTTTGGGCCTACTGCTCTGGGCCTCTTCTACCTGCATGTTCGCATTATATACTTTGTATTGTGCATAGCTATTAGAATTTTATTATTCATGACTTGAAAGCTACCATTTGCTATAGTTGACTACCTATCAATTCGTGTTATAAGATAAATCTCAAATGACTTTCAATCTTAAGATTTATGAATGTATCAGTGTAATTTTGTATCATGGATACTAGCACTCCATCCAAGTATTTTTCTCTTATAATAAAGCCAAAATTTTCTACTTCACTACTTTGTCATTCATTCCTTATGTGCATTCTATCTGTGGCTGTTTCATTGCTTCATTTTCGATCTTCTATAATAGGGGTTTCGCAATCTCGGATTTAACTCATCACTCTGATATGTGGGCTGATGATTAAGTTGGTTTATCTAATGCTAGTTTACAGTTATTACCTTGAACGCTGTATACATTTCTATGATATACTTGAAGTTATTTTTCACATTCTTTGAGTCATACAATGTGGTACAACTATTTGAATCTCGCTTTGGTCATACTACCATAGCTTGTAACAAATTAGAAAAGTGGGATCATACACTGTATTATATATTTTTAGGGTGCTGGGATATTTTGGTGCTATATTATATTCTTAGACAGCTATAATGCATATCAATATTTGTTATGTAACTGACTTCTGTGCCAGACTGCCAGTATTTTGAGTCATCAGTTTCTATTTATCTTGATGTGGTTAGTATCTATTTATTTGTTCAGATTCTAGTAGATTGCAGTGGAGAAGATGGACAAGAAAAAACTCCTGATACAGCATTTTTGAACAAGAAAACCGCACTTCTGCAGCTTGTGGAGGAAAGTCCTGTTCCAAGAACAATTGTGTTCTGCAACAAGGTATTTTACATTCTGACTTGAGACTTATCTTTTATAATTTTAGTTTTCTATGCAACATTTGTCCTTTTATTTTGGTGTAATTCTCCACACAAAAAAAATTGCAGATTGAAACATGCAGAAAAGTTGAAAATTCATTAAGGCGTTTTGATAGAAAAGGAAATCACATGCAAGTTCTACCCTTCCATGCTGCCATGACACAAGAATCACGGCTTGCTAGCATGGAAGAGTTTACTCGTCCTCCATCAAAAGGAGTTTCCCAGTTCATGATTTGCACTGACAGGTATTTGTCAGTTAAGTCTAATTTTACCTTTGCCTTTCTGACGTTTTGATGATTCTCTGATTCCAAATAAGTGATTATGGTAACTTGTCACAGGGCTTCACGAGGTATTGACTTTGCAGGAGTGGATCATGTCATACTCTTTGACTTCCCACGTGATCCAAGTGAATATGTACGTCGTGTTGGAAGAACAGCCAGAGGTGCGAAGGGAGTAGGAAAGGCATTTATATTTGTGGTTGGCAAGCAAGTATCCCTTGCAAGCAAAATAATGGAAAGAAGTCAGAAGGGTCACCCACTACATGATATACCTACGGCATATTAGCTAATGAACTAGAATGAGTGCTTGAAAAGGTTTCTCTGAACTTCACTGCTGAATCATGGAAAGGAGAGCTATGCAGCTGCTTAACCTCTTTTCTAATCAGAACCACCTTATTCAAAGCAACTTGGCTGATCCATAGGTGGCTTATTAGAAACACAAGCACAAGGTGGTTTGCAAGAGTTGTAGCTAAAACATGACTTACGTTTATTATCAAGATCTCTGAAACATGAAATGAAAGTTTTTTACCTACGCGAGTTTTTAGGTGCATTTTCACCCTTAGTAGTTTGTAAAATTTTAACATTAACTCATTTAGTTGTTAATGAAACTAGTAGTACAAGAAAATTTTGACGTCATTTTTGACCTGAATTATAGCTGGTCAATTTGATCGTTACGAGAGTATTTTGTCCATTATTTTAGTCTCTGTTAATTTCAATACTAAACAAATCTGCTCTCTCACGTTAGGCTTCATGTAAGACGTGGATGTGGTTAATATCTACAGAACTTTCTCTCTTTTGAGACTAAAATGATGGTATATGTAAATCCAGTTCAAGCAAAATCTAAGTCATATAAGTGGTTAATATGGGACAATTTTTTTCTCTTTTGGAATTTCAATAGTATAACCGAAGACACATTCTGGGGAGCAATATTTTTACATTTTTTTCCGTAATAAAAGTTATATATAATATCATTAGTTGTGTTATTCTCTGATTAGAATTAGAATTTCACTTGATAGTATCACTTATCGGATTATTTGTCACCAAATTATTTATTAGGTATATTATTGAGGTAAAAATTCAAATATGATAATGTAAACAAGTTGTCTCTTCCGATATTTGCTATTTTATGAAAAAAGAAATCCTTTCTTGACATATTATTTACAAATAGTTTATTTTGTATTTAAAGGGGTGTCATTAGGATTCAAGCCCGCAACAACTACTATTTCCACGGACCAATTTTAATTTTTGCACTAATATATGTTAAATCTATAAATTTTCTTATGAAAAAAAATCAAATAAACATATAAAGTTAATCTATATTATTATTTAATCTTTTTTTTTTACACAAGTCGTATATATGTATATATTAATTTTAGATTAATAGGGTTATCAACTCGCAATTAAATATTTTTTAACTTCCTTTGATTTAAAGACTAATAATGCGACTGACAATAACTTTTCAGTTTCAAGAATTAAGATAGCAGTTTATTCATTATTATTTTTTTGTTGAGTGCCAGAATCTTTTTCCAAGGTGCCCTTAATTTAATAATTGTATATGATGTCTGAATTCAAAAAGAATGTCTTGTTATAACAGTGTTAAATAATAAAAATACATATTTTTAGTTTAATAACAAAAACTAAGGTTGCGTGGTTGTGTAGATTGTAGCGTTGCCTGGACTGGAGTGAAGGGAGAAAGCAAAGCATCTTCTTGATTTTGTCTTTCTTCATCTTCTCAGCAATGCCGCCTTTGTCAACAACTCACTTTAGGTTTCTACTTTTTTTCAATTTCTATTTCCTTTAATTTCCTGCAGTTTCTATTTTTTTTTTCATTACCATATGCTTCGACGACCGTATCTGTTTTATTATTCAATTTGAGTGTATGGTTTCTTGAAATTGAGATGAGTGGGTATTAGATTTTAGCTCACCCACTTCACCACTCATCCTTTCAACCCTCGAACTTACCCAATGTCGCTTATTCTTTGTTAATTTTTCAAGTAATTCATATGATCATATTCGGCTAATGGGATAATAAATGGTGACTTTGGGTTCCTGCTACTGAGATTCTTTTGATGTCATTTTCGTTCTTCCTTATCAAAATGAATGAATACAGCAGTCAGACAGTTTTGCTAAATTTCGAAAACTCTGTCGTATTTGTGGGATTAATCTCCAGTGTGCTGTTGTTTTTACCATGTGCGTATCAACTTTGTTTGAAATCTTGCTTGAATAGGTTGGAAAACAAGACGGATTAAATACTCTACAATTTGTATATAATGTTTGTATCACCCCTCTTTTCAATACAGAAAAACACATTTCATCCAATCTTTTTAGGAGACACCGATACTGCTGCTTTTTTTTCTTCATTTTCCTTCATTTTATGATTATTTCCTTTTCCTCAACTCTAAGGGCTGGACCTGTCAATTGATTAATTGCAGTCCTAGTTTTTATTTTCGTAGTCAAGTTCCTAGTATATAGAAGTTGTTTTACATTCCTTGATTGAACAATGAATTGTTTACTACATAGTTATTATTCCATGAAGATATGCTTTATTTATTTGTTTTTGTAAAATAGAAATGTTAGATGACTTTTATCTTGTTAAAATCAATTTACGAATATATAGAATCAAATATTACATCAGTATTAATTAAATATGAAATTTATAGTCACAGTCTAATTTGTTATATAAAATTTAAATATTATTCTGTTTACTGCAGAATCTTGAAATTGTACATATCCTGAAGATTTATTTGCTTTTGTTTTCTTCATTGTGTGTTAATATATGATCATTCCAAATGTTTTTATGGCCTTATTACTTGCACATGGGATTGTACTCGTATTTTGCGTTTATAAGATTGTTGTTGCTTATTTATATTCTCTCCCTTTCAGCTACTGTGACACAAGTTCCTTCTCCTTTTGATGTGCCCTCCATGGACATTGATCTAGAGGTACCTATATGTGAGCATGAGAAGCTTAATATTGGATCTAGTGGAAATAATCTTACAGATACAACATGTGATATATGTATTGAGGAGCATAAAATCAATCCTTCGTCAATGACTGCACACTGTAAGGAAGTTTTAAGTGAAAAAGATTTCTGCTGTCAGGATCCGGTGGATTTGAATTCTAATCAAGTGGATGCAATTGATAGATTTCCCATTAAAGAACCACAAAATGGCTTGGAATTTGAATCAAAGGAGGCTGCCTATTCTTTCTACAGAGAATATGCTCGCTTAGTGGGTTTTGGCATCACGATAAAAGCCAGTCGACGCTCGAAAAAGTCTGGAAAATTTATTGATATTAAAATTGTTTGTTCTAGATTTGGAAGTAAGCGTGAGTCCGGTACAGCTGTTAATCCACGACCATGTACAAAGACAGACTGTAAGGCTGGAATGCATATGAAGAAGAAGATAGATGGGAATTGGATTATATACAATTTTGTAAAAGAGCACAATCATGAGATCTGTCCCGATGATTTTGTCACGGGACGTAGCAAACAAATAAGTAATCTAGCTTGTCGTAAGAAGGGCATGCAATTGGCTCTAGACGAGGGAGATGTGCAGTTGATCATCGAATACTTTATCTCTATGCAGTGTGAAAATCCAAACTTCTTTTATGCAATAGACCTGGATCAGGATAGACATTTGAGAACTGTATTTTGGGTTGACTCAAAAGGAATATTTGATTATAAAAAGTTTCATGATATTGTGTTGATTGACACTTTTTACCTGAAAAACAAATATAAAATTCCTTTTGTTCCTTTTGTCGGGGTCAACCATCACTTCCAGTACATTTTACTTGGATGTGCTCTGGTTGGGGAAGAGTCTGTTTCAGCTTTTATGTGGTTAATGCAAGCATGGCTCAAGGCAATGAGTAACCTACCTCCCGAGGTGATTATCACAGATCAGGAGCAATTCTTGAAAGAAGCTGTCATGGAAGTGTTTCCAGATAAACATCACTGTTTCTGCCTATCACATGTTTTATGTAAAATAACCAAGAATTTGGATTATATCATAAATGAAAATAATAATTTTATGGAAAATTTTGACAAATGCATTCATCATTACTGTTCAGATGAGAAATTTGAAGAGAGATGGTGGAAGTTGATGAATAGAATTGAACTAAAGGATGATGAATTGGTTCGGTCATTGTATGAAGATCGTAAAAAGTGGGCGCCTACATTCATGCGGGACATTTCTTTGGTTGGATTATCAACAATTGTAAGATCTGAGAGTGTATCATCTTTCTTTGACAAGTATATCCGTGTTGATTCTACCTTTGAGGAATTTATTGAACAGTATAAAGTTTTCTCTGTAGACTGTTTTGACATTGAAGCCAAAGCTGACATTGAAACAAAACAAAAGCAACCTACATTAAGATCTTTATCACCTTTTGAGAAGCAGCTATCCGCAATTTTTACTGATGCCATATTTAGAAATTTTCAGTTGGAAATATTGGGAATGATGTCCTGTCATCTGCAGATGGAAACAGAAGGAAGGGAAACTTTGACATTTCTTGTTCATGATTTTGAGAAGCGGAAGAAATTTATTGTTTCTTGGAAGGAAGTAGATTTGTATGTCTGTTGTTCATGTTGTTTATTTCAATACAAAGGTTTTCTATGTAGACATGCAATGCTTGTCCTTCAGAAGTCGGGCATAACCAGCATTCCATCCTATTATATTTTAAAACGATGGACAAAAGATTCAATGGCCGATCAATTTTCTGGTGACATAATTACCAGGACTGCTAATTGAGTTCAACGATTTAATGACCTTTGTAGGCGGGCAATTGTATTAAGTCAAATTGGATCTTTATCTGAAGATACTTACCGTGTTGCATCTCAGGCCATGGAAGAAATGTATAAACACTGTGTGAACACAAAATATTCTGCCAGAAGCACTTCGGATCCCAACAAGTTGGCTCTTGATGCTTTTGATGTTCGAGATAAAAATTATGGCTGCAACAGGGCAAAACCTACTAAGAAAAGGAAGTCATTCAGTAAAAGGGTTAGTTGATGATCAACTGTTATGGTGCTGCTAGAACTTGTATTGACTTGTAGTAAGTGGTGGACCTTCTTAAACAGATTTTGTATATTACAGGAATCCTCTGATCCAGAAAGAATCAATATCAAGACGATGGATGATCTCAGAAAGAGGGTTTGCCTTTATTACTTTCTTGGCCTTGTCATGAACGGATAAAGCTCAGAATTCTAATATTGCTCATACTTTTTAGGGTCATCAGTGTTATCTTTATGTGCAGGAACAGAGAATTACAAGAGCGCACAACTTCAATAATTGTTACATTTATCAGCAGAACATGCAAACTGTGGTACGGATATTTCTCTGCACATGATAGTCCAGAAAGAATCTAGAGATAGTACTTTAACAGTAACAGTTTTCGTAAATGTTCATTCTCCTCTTAATTTCTATTTTATTCTTTTGGATACATAAGATAAGTTTTTGTTCTCACAGGACTTAGATTCTAGAGCTTCGACCCTTGATGCTTATTATGGGACTCAGCAGAGTGTGCTTGAAGATGTATTATCTGCACTCTTTTTTTTTTTCAGTTGGATGGGAGATGTTTTGAATCTCATATTTTGTTTCAATCTTCAGGGGCAATTGCATTCCATTGCAAGCCGTGGTCCACATTATGGGATGCAGCACAGGATGCAAAGACCGGTAGTGATTTACGGCTTACATTTTGAAACTAGTTGGCTCAAAATTTTTAATCCAAGATAATTAGCGTTGGGTGGTTTGTTTTCACAGCTTCAAGGAGAGCTCACTTTCAGAACGCCAACAGTACAAGGGTGTTTTGACCTCCAAGATAGTCTAGAAGCTATAGTATGCATTTAAATGATTTAGTTATAATTTGCACTTTAGTTTGCACTGCGGAGTATATTCATGAGATGTGATTTTGTTTCAGGAAGAACCTGTTAAGGCCTCACAGTTCCATGACATTGCATCAAAGCAACTAGAAGCCGATAAATCACTTCCCTGATATCTGGAAGAATACAGTTTTCTTCCATGTTAGAGTAAAGATGTATACGTTGTATGTATATGGATAGTATAGACTAGTACTAAACATAGTTCTTTTCTTGGGGAGTAGGGAAAATTGCACGCTTCAACAAAAATGAGAAAAATAACTTCAGACATCTACTTAAGTGTTTACACTTAGTTCAGTTATAAAATGCTTGCAATGTGTGTGTGTGTGTTTACATATAAAATAAGGATAGAACTAAGAAGACGAGTAATAATTGTGTATCAAGAATGTAATCTTTAAGTTACCTCTATAATGCTTTTGAAGGAAATTAATTTTCATTGAAATTAAAAAATCATAGTAAATTTTATAATTATTATTTTCTGTTCCTAACAAGTGAATTCAATAAATCATAATATTATCAACAAAAAAAAATCATAATATTATAAACAATTGTTATTTATGTTGTTAACAAATCAAGTATAAAATCGCAATAAATTTTGCAACATTGTTGTTTTTGTGGCTAAATACTTTAATCACAGTATATTATATTGTATTTTGCATATAATAACATTTTTTATGTTATGATATTAACATATAGCAATTTTTCCATCAGAATATTTCATTTTTTTTAATACTCATTATTATTGGCAAATTAAAAACAAAAAAAACTATAAAATTTGTAATCCTTGTTTTTTTGTTAATAATATAACCTGTGGTTCTGTAATATTTTTAAAATTTAGTGAATTATAAAAATTTATTAAATAAAATATATGACGTTATTAAGGAAATCTTTAATAAAAAATTTAAGTCAGTTTTTAAATTTTAAATTTTTAAATCTACTATAATTCAGGTTAAAATTATGGAAATGGAGAAGAAATGGCTCAACACATCAAGGCATGCCACTTGATGTTTTAGTAGAAGTGTTATTAAATACTCTCATTTATTATAAAATATCTTAAAAAGAATGGTATATAAGAGATTTTACAAATTGTAAAAAATATTATTTTTCCCCTTAAATTTTTGTCCATACTAAATTTTATGAATATTTATGTTTTATATAATATTTTTAAAAATGTCATTAATTAGAAATATTAATTTAATATATTTGATAATATTTTACATATTTAGTCAATTAATTGTTTAGTGATATTTGTAAATCTAAGAGTTGTCATTTTATTTTAAAAATAGTACATTATTTACTAAAAGTTCCTTTAATTTAGTTACAGAACATGGATTCAATCAATAATCCAATAACTTAATAATTTAGTCAAGGCCATTATTTTTTAAAACATTGTTTACTGCAACTATTGGTGAAATAAATAATTATATTAGTTGAGTCATTGCTAACTTTTATTTTGTTCGATATAATATCCAATATTTTAGTTGAATTTTGCTGTTTATTTTTTTTACATTATTATTTTTATCATGACTCATTATCTTACTTATTATTTGTACGTAAGTGTTGAAAAATATAAAGTTATGTAATTAATACAAAAATTATTATAATTAATGAAAGATGATTTTCATTAAAGTATAACAAAAACCATTATCATCACTACATTTAATAATCAGGATAGTTAATTAGGACTACATTTAATAATAACAACGATGATATGGAAATTATGGAAAAATATTTTTTTATTATTTAACATATTTTTAATTAAAATAATAAAAAAAAATTATGCATTAACAATGAAATTGTTTTATAAAACCTTACCTCGTGACAAGTTGATACAAACAATGAAGACAACAAACAGATAATAATCAATCAAACAATTAATTTGAATAGAAAAAATAATAAAAAATGAATTGAAAATATTAAAGTTAAAAGAAAGTTGAAATTGAAGTAAGATAGAAATAAATAATAAACAGTGGGAGTGAAAAAGGAGGTATTTTTTGGTGTCTTCAAACCCTCTCCCGCCAACAACAGGAAAGTGCGGTTCTTGAGGTTTCCAACATTCTTTGATTGGTTCATTGATTCATTGTCTGAGAAGAAGAGAAAAGAAAAGAGAAGAATCACGCAACATCAGCATGAGTGCTGTGAACATCACAACGTCACCGTCCTTGACAACCCTGCTTCCTTTCTCACCCTTTTCAGTTCGAGATTTCCTACGAGTGCCTCACCGCTCTCAAAGACGGTAACATATTCTCTCTCTTTCTCTTTCTTTTTAGGGTTTCTTCATCCCTATCTTCAAACCCTCACTCCATCACTTCTACTCAATCCCCTCTCTCTATCTTTCCCTTTCACGGATCTTTGCACCTTCTTTCATCCTCCGCTTTTCTTATCATATCTCTGCAATCCCCAATTTTTTCGTCTAATTTAATACCCAAAACCCGCTTAATCATTCGCACAAGCTGTTTTTTTTATTAATATTACAATTTTCTTGTCTTTATTCTATACGATGGGTTGGGTTTACTCGTCTCACAAAGTAACCGAGAACTAAATACCATTGCAAGATGATTCTGTAAGACTGTACTTTTTAATGACTCAGGCTTGTTTGTTTAGTGTTTTTTTTTTCTTTTTTCCCTAAAATTTGTATGCCTGCCGAGCACATTCGAAAGCCTTTTTTCTTGAATTTGTATGACCAAATTCTTGTTTCCCAGAAAATTGTCTCTGAGCGATTCATTACTCTGAGATAACGAGCTGAATGGAAAAAATATCTTCTGCTGTTTCTGTTAATTGCTTCTAAAACCTTGTTTTGAATGTTTTCTTTTTTCAAAACTTAATGGATTTAAAATAAAAAATTGATAGTTGAACATGTGAAATTATTTAGAAGACGCAATTAAAAAAAAAACAAGAAATGTATCAGGCATCTCTTTTTGTTTGACCTTGTTCTGTTATTTTGAATTTTGTAATCTATACTTGTAAATATGAAAGCCTTGAAATATTTTCTTGTAAGTGATTTTCTGGGAACAAAGTCTACATTATCATGTTGAATTTTTGTCTAGAAGTCACTGTGAAGCCTATTTTTCTAGCCTCTTCACTGTAATCTCACTCCCATAACCTCTTGACAATGTATGCTGTCTTGTGGGTGCAGATTTGGAATGGAAGCTCATATATGTTGGATCTGCTGAGGATGAGACCTATGACCAATTATTAGAAAGTGTCCTTGTTGGTCCTGTCAATGTTGGAAACTATCGCTTCGTTTTACAGGCAAGCGATATGAATACTAATCTTACGAATTCTGCGCTGCACCATGCAATTGCTCAGACACTCGCTCTAACTTTGAAAATACTGTTTGGTTTGCAGGCAGATCCACCGGATCCATCAAAGATTCGTGAAGAAGATATAATTGGTGTGACAGTGCTTCTGTTGACGTGCTCTTATCTGGGACAGGAATTTATTCGTGTTGGCTATTACGTGAACAATGATTATGATGATGAGCAGCTGAGAGAGGAACCCCCACCAAAGGTGTTAATTGATCGGGTTCAAAGGAACATTTTGTCTGATAAACCCAGGGTCACGAAAGTTCCCCATCAATTTCCACCCTGAGAACAATGAAAATGAAGAGCAACCCCCTCCGTCCGAGCACCCATCTGAAACTGGAGAAGACCCACTTGCCTTAGTTGATCGTGATCCTGCAGATAGGAAGGATTCTTAACATTTTGTAGGTATACAGACCTTTCAATTCCTAAATCTCCATTGTATTCACTGTATGGATAATGATGCCGTTTTTGTGAATCTCTGTTCAATTATGTGAATGGGATTTGTGAGCCGATTTGAAGTAGGGGCCTTGGAGCTCTATGTTCAAAATGACTGTAAGGTACCAGTTTCTTTGAATGAAGTTTTGCAATGCAAACCCAGTTTTATGATAGTCTACTTCACAAATCATAATCTTTATGATTTCTGATTGCCAAGAGGTTTCGCGTAATATTTAAGTCCTTTTTTGAGTTTTCTTTTGTTCGGTTCTATGAATTTTTTTGTTTAAAAATTATATTATAACTAGGATAGGCAGTTCTCCGAGGGGGAACCTTGTGGTCTAAAAACATGTTGAAATCTTTGAAATTGCCGCATCCTTTGTAAGGGTAAGACTGTATATATTTAACCTCCCTAAACCCCATTAGGACTAGGAGGGGCTTTGATAGATATATAAATATTGATGAACCTGAAAGAGTAAATATCTTCTGTTAGGGAAGTTCATTCTACTATTTTCTTTTATTAGATTATGTAAGGTATATATCATCTGTCAAGGAGTATTTTGTATTGGAAGGTCTGTTTCTCTTATATTGTACCTAGGACTCTGTCACTCGTAAACTTCATCAAACAAATAATCAGTTTAGCATGTTTTAATCGTTGTTTGAATTTACAATTGAAAAAAAAATGTATGTTAATTTTAAAGTCTTGCGATGTAATTGCATTTATGCATAAACCTGGGTTTGCCATATTTTCTTTAGAAAAACAGCTGATGATTTATTTTATTTCTCAGCCTCGATAAACCGATGGAGCTTAACATGCTCGAAAGTCACGAACTTTCTTGTTTGTACTAGTGAATGTCATTAGAATTGATAAAACTAAATAAGGACGTGATATGGACCAAAAATTTGTTTGTAAATTTTAACATTGACATATATCAATACCTAACATGGAAGATTGGAATTTTTTGTTCTTTAGTTTTATTCGTTAATGTTTATAGATGGTGATATACATGTTCATTAAATTTTGTGATAATTTGTTTATTGTTGCCTAAATGTTATATATTTTAGACAATACCTCAATATCTTTCATTGTATAATTATTTCCAACCCTTCACAAACTTTCTGGAATGTTTTGCTCGAACAGAAGAGGATACAATCAGTTAATTGATGTGTGAAAACATTATAATTAAGTCTGTATATACAAAATAATTGGTATAAAATGATTTTAAAAAATGTTGAATAAGTATGATAGTATATTCTCACGTTATAAATTAAAATACATAATACAGAGAATGAGACTATTGCCACTTTCTTAATTAAATATTTTAATAGTTTTATGTCAATATATGTCTTGCATACGTCACCTCTGTATCTAGAAAAATAAATTTTCAACTATCTCAAACTATTTTTTCTTTATTTGTATTACTAAAGATTATAAACTGTGTATCTCTTTCAAATTGTATATTTATTTTTAAATTAAACTTTAATAATGAAAAGAAAATAATAGTTACTTTTTTATTCACATCACTCAATTTTAAAAGAAAAAACTCAATCAAATAAATTCTTTAATAGAAACTTAATTAAAAATATTTAAATTGGAAATTTAAAAGTTAATTAAGCTATTTTTAATGGTTTAATAAATTTTTTTTAACTGTAAATATTTAAATTTGTAAAAGATTTAAAATTTAAACTTAATTAAGTAAATTATAATTATAGAAAAATAAAGATAATAGTAATAGATGTTTCGACGTAAGTATTTTATGATGAGACGGGAATGTGACGAGTCGGCGCGGTGAGGACCTTGTGAATAACGGTCCTACCTGTTTTGTTGCATGGACATTATCGCCTGCTTCGAAACATCCCATATATCACATCGCATCACATCCTATGCATTCAGCTTGAGCTTCAGGCTTAGGCTTAACAATGGTGTATGGCGATCACAACCTGTCAAATCCAACCTTGAAGCAATCCAACGTTAACGTTTCCGATCATCAGAGCATGTCCAAGAACCACATCTCACCCAACCGTCGCAGGTTTCGGTCCAGAAGGAGGAAAACCACCGCTGCTTGCCCCCACTCATCGGTCAACCTCCGCGCATACGACGTCGACGGCACCAACAGTCCCTATTACAAGGGTCTGACTGACCATTCCCTTGCGATTGTGAACACCATACCCTCCTGTGCTCAACCTCATCCTCACGCCCCTTCCTCCTACCTCCTTTCCAGTCCTTATTACAAAGGCCTTACGGACTATTCCCTTGTTATTCGTCCCTGGACTCCTCACAACCATCCTCTTCCTTTTCCCCACAACTCCCTCTCCTACACCCCTAGTCCTTACTATGCAGGTCTTCTCACTCACTACACCCTTTTCTTTCATGCACGCTCACTTCAACCTTCTTTCACTACAAACCTTCCAAACATCAAGAACCCTACTTTGAAGGACTTGATGCTCGATCCTCATCACGTTGGCTTTGTTACTCAAGAAACTGCTCAAGTTGGCAATCATGCATTGGAGGAACTTGGGGAGAAAACTGCTGCTGTGGTTGATCAAGAGAATGACGTTGATGTTGAGATGGTGATGACTGAAGAGAAGGCCTTGGGGGAGAGTGTATTCGAGCAGGCTACTGATGAGGTTGAGGGTGTGTCAGAAGAAGCAATCTTTGATACAAAGTTGATGAGTGATGATGATGTTGTTGAAGAGAAGCCATTGGGGGAGAAATCATCGGAAACAAGCGAGATGGATTTGTGGAAGGAAGAGGAAGTGCAAGAAGTGTTGCCTCTTGTTTCATCAGAAGCAGTTGTTGTTTCGTCTGAATCTGATTATACATGGGCAGCCAAATACCAACCCATGGCCTTGGAAGAGTTCATCTGCAACAAAGACATAGCAAGTCAACTCAAAACAATGGTTAGCTATATATACCTAAATCTAATTATTTTTTTTAATTGCATCTCGTAATTCTATAAGATATAATCCATACCTAAAAACAATGGTTAGATATACCTAAGTTTAATTACTTTGTGTCATTTGGAATATTTTTACTATCTCTTTCTTTCTTTATAATAAAAATTTACATGTAATTTTGATGTGTTAAAAAAGACTTTTTATATTTTGCTAACAACTAGCCTTTATCGTGTGTATTTGTGGCTTATATACTTTGTGTCTTTGTGTATCTCTGTGTTTTCGTGCATCTTCTGTTGTTACATAGATTGAATAAGGTAACAAATCATAAGTATTGANTTGGAAGAGTTCATCTGCAACAAAGACATAGCAAGTCAACTCAAAACAATGGTTAGCTATATATACCTAAATCTAATTATTTTTTTTAATTGCATCTCGTAATTCTATAAGATATAATCCATACCTAAAAACAATGGTTAGATATACCTAAGTTTAATTACTTTGTGTCATTTGGAATATTTTTACTATCTCTTTCTTTCTTTATAATAAAAATTTACATGTAATTTTGATGTGTTAAAAAAGACTTTTTATATTTTGCTAACAACTAGCCTTTATCGTGTGTATTTGTGGCTTATATACTTTGTGTCTTTGTGTATCTCTGTGTTTTCGTGCATCTTCTGTTGTTACATAGATTGAATAAGGTAACAAATCATAAGTATTGAAAGATAATTGAAAAAGAATGTCAAGAGACGAATCGTGAATTTCACTGCTTTTATGTGGTGCTAATGAAACTTTTGACAAGAGAGGGATAATAGACCAGTAGCTCAATATTTTAACAACTTTTTTTAATAACTTTTTATAATGAATTACGTGTTACTGTTTTATTGGTCTGTATATTTTAAACAGACCAATCACAAACTATCACATAGGTTTGTTACAAAAAAAATTGTCAAAAAAATGTTTTTTAATAGATAATACGAGAAAGACAATGATTTGGATGGTTTGGGTGAAAAAAACAATAAAACGCTAGAAAGTTGTGAAAAAAATTTGGAAAGATGAACTATACAGGAAAAGAAATTGAAAGAAAAAAATTTTCCACACGTCTATATGAAACCACATAAAAAGTTGGTTTAAGTTGAGTTTCAAAACCTTTTTAAAGAACACTTATATTTATATCTTAAGAAATAAATCATTTAAATTTAAAATACTAAACATGTTTTCTTATATATTATTTAACAAAATTTGTTATTGATCTAAAAAAAATCAAGAAAAAATTAGTTTATATTTACTTTGAATAAGAAATATCATCAAATTAGAGTGAAAATTAAATATAATACAAAAGGTTTCAAAAGTATTTTGGTATGACATTTTTATTCACTATTAATTTAAATTCATCTTACAATTTTTAATCACTATATATTTTCATTTGAATTGAAACAAAAATAAGTTTAATTAGATCTTAATATAATATTAGTGTTTTTTGTTTTGCTTCTTATCAAATAAATACTAAAAAAATTATTAGAGCTATAAGCAAATATAAAATTATATTAAAATTTAATTAATTTTTAATTTTGTAGAAGGTTATCAACAAAAATTAAAATACTACTTTAACTTTTATAAATTAATGATTTTATAATATTGGTTATTTTTAAATTTTAATTTATATCATTTTGATTAAAATTAAACTAAGGATACCTTTTGTAATTTATTATATACTTAATTAATTCTTTTATACCGCATTAATTAAATCTATTATATAAATTTTCCGTTCATTTCCAATTGGTTTTCTTAAATCTAAACAAATCCTTATCATTTTTTCTTTCTTACTTTATTTGCCTTTTCATCTCTTACTTTATTTGTCTTTTCACCTCCAACTCAGTCCAGATAAAACATAATAGATAATATGATTGATAGGCAACTATATTGGTCAAAGATAACATACATACTAACTTTTAAAGGAATAATCTAAGAAATAAATAATAGAAACGTAGAGGCGTATGTGCATTTTAGAACTAAAGTATACAAGCTTTTAAATATTGATTTGTCTGTTTCTAAATTTTGTTGGTAAAAAAAGAATGTTACACTTTCCATTTTGAGACTTTTTTTTTAGTTTGTGAGTAATTATATTTTCTGGAAGAAGAATGTTTTTTTAATAACTTTTGTTTACAACTTTTTTATAATAATATATGTGGTAATTTATTATTGGTTTTTGCGGAATAAAATAATGATAGAGTATATTATAAGAAAGTTGTTAAAAAAAAAAAGTTATTAATGTATCATAATCTATCTTAAAATTCATTTATAATGTATGGTCCATTTTTATTTTTGATACTTTTTCTCAGGTAGAAGGTGGTTGTGGGTGCAGCCACTTTATATTTGAAGGACCACCAAGCGTGGGGAAGAGATCCATGATAAGGGCTATGCTTGGAGAGGTATTCGGCTCCGACAGGGTCCAGGTAAACTATTCTAACTCAAATATACTTCTATCGTTCATGCGCACAAAAAACACTGATAATTTTACCACTGATGAATGACATCACAGGTCGAAGAAGAATATAGAAACTTCATTTTGAAGGTACCGTCTTGAATTTTCATCAATGATAAACTATTTCTTCCTGAATACCATACATATATAACTATTTATTTTACATATAGGGAGAAATGATTGATAGTGTGCAAGTGCGCGTAAAGAAATCACTCCATCATGTCGAGGTGAATCTGTCAGAGACAAATGGATACGAAAAACATGTAATTGTTGATTTATTCAAGGAAACATATGGGCAGGTGATAGATAACTCGCAACCTTGTTATCCAGAAAACTGCAAAGGTAAGTAATATTAAGTGAAGGAAAAGGTTTGCTGTTAGGTAACAACATGTTTTCCGATAATTAATGTCTCTGGGGTTTGTTTGAAAGCAATCGTTTTGTACGAGGCGGAGAAGCTGTCGATAGAATCGTTGTTGTATATTAAGTGGCTGCTAGAGAAGTACGAAGGGTGTAATAAGGTTTTCTTCTGTTGCTCTGATGAATCTAAGCTTCAACCTGTGAAGCCACTTTGCATCACTCTCCGCCTTTCATCGCCATCAACCCAAGAGGTTCCTTTCTCGTTTCCTGCATTTTCAATACATAACGTACATACCATGCTTCTCATAAGCTTTTCACCTCACAGCTAGCTACGATTTTGGAAAACATTGCAAANCGTTCATTTCCAATTGGTTTTCTTAAATCTAAACAAATCCTTATCATTTTTTCTTTCTTACTTTATTTGCCTTTTCATCTCTTACTTTATTTGTCTTTTCACCTCCAACTCAGTCCAGATAAAACATAATAGATAATATGATTGATAGGCAACTATATTGGTCAAAGATAACATACATACTAACTTTTAAAGGAATAATCTAAGAAATAAATAATAGAAACGTAGAGGCGTATGTGCATTTTAGAACTAAAGTATACAAGCTTTTAAATATTGATTTGTCTGTTTCTAAATTTTGTTGGTAAAAAAAGAATGTTACACTTTCCATTTTGAGACTTTTTTTTTTAGTTTGTGAGTAATTATATTTTCTGGAAGAAGAATGTTTTTTTAATAACTTTTGTTTACAACTTTTTTATAATAATATATGTGGTAATTTATTATTGGTTTTTGCGGAATAAAATAATGATAGAGTATATTATAAGAAAGTTGTTAAAAAAAAAAAGTTATTAATGTATCATAATCTATCTTAAAATTCATTTATAATGTATGGTCCATTTTTATTTTTGATACTTTTTCTCAGGTAGAAGGTGGTTGTGGGTGCAGCCACTTTATATTTGAAGGACCACCAAGCGTGGGGAAGAGATCCATGATAAGGGCTATGCTTGGAGAGGTATTCGGCTCCGACAGGGTCCAGGTAAACTATTCTAACTCAAATATACTTCTATCGTTCATGCGCACAAAAAACACTGATAATTTTACCACTGATGAATGACATCACAGGTCGAAGAAGAATATAGAAACTTCATTTTGAAGGTACCGTCTTGAATTTTCATCAATGATAAACTATTTCTTCCTGAATACCATACATATATAACTATTTATTTTACATATAGGGAGAAATGATTGATAGTGTGCAAGTGCGCGTAAAGAAATCACTCCATCATGTCGAGGTGAATCTGTCAGAGACAAATGGATACGAAAAACATGTAATTGTTGATTTATTCAAGGAAACATATGGGCAGGTGATAGATAACTCGCAACCTTGTTATCCAGAAAACTGCAAAGGTAAGTAATAATAAGTGAAGGAAAAGGTTTGCTGTTAGGTAACAACATGTTTTCCGATAATTAATGTCTCTGGGGTTTGTTTGAAAGCAATCGTTTTGTACGAGGCGGAGAAGCTGTCGATAGAATCGTTGTTGTATATTAAGTGGCTGCTAGAGAAGTACGAAGGGTGTAATAAGGTTTTCTTCTGTTGCTCTGATGAATCTAAGCTTCAACCTGTGAAGCCACTTTGCATCACTCTCCGCCTTTCATCGCCATCAACCCAAGAGGTTCCTTTCTCGTTTCCTGCATTTTCAATACATAACGTACATACCATGCTTCTCATAAGCTTTTCACCTCACAGCTAGCTACGATTTTGGAAAACATTGCAAAAGCAGAAGGAATACAGTTATCACGCCACTTGATCGATACCATAATTTTGAGGTCCAAGAACAACCTACGCCAGGCCATTCGTTCGTTAGAGGCCACTTGCCGAAATAGGTTTGTCATTTTTATGTTTAAGCATTTTTTTTCCTCTTCCTATACTGTCGAAAGGGGTAGTGAAATTAATGTGCAAGATGGATAAATTGAGGTTTTTGTACCAAATTAGGTAAATATGACTTCAATATTATTAAAATGGACAAATTTTGACCCAAAGTGAAGTCGGGGCCCAAACGACTTCAATTGAAGAATTCGTGCCCCCTGCATGACTTCACACTAATGAACAGTGTGAAGTCGTGCAGGGACACGACTTCTTCAATTGAAGTTGTTTGGGCCCCACGACTTTCCCATTTTCGTAATTTCAGTTGAATTTGTCCACTTTGATAATATTGAAGCCAAATATGCCTAGTTTGATGAAAAACCAGAAATTGAAGAAAGATTAATAGGGTATTTTGGATAGATATTGTTTACTATTTTGCATGCAGGGATGCTGTCAAAGAGAACGACGTGATTCTAACTGGTTGGGAACAAGATATTCTGGATATTGCCAAAAAAATAATCCAAGAACAAAGTCCACGACAGTAAGGAATTTCACAGCAGCTTTAGTTTCTATTTGTCATTGAAGTTTAGTTTTTTACGAAGATGATATTTGCATTAGGCTGTACGCCATTCGTAGAAAGCTACGAAGTCTTATGAGCCATGATGTTCCTCCTGAGTTTATTTACAAGGTAAAGGAATTATTTGTTTGAAGTGAAAATAAAATTTGAAGGTTCCAACTTAAGGCGTAAATTGGTTGATGAATGCAGTCTTTGGTACCAGAATTAACCACTCTTGTTCATCACTCGCTACGCCCAGGGATTGCCAAACTCGACAGGGACTTCATGGTAAATAACACTTTTCTCTGTTTCACTTTTTTTTCTGTTTTGATGTAATTTTTTCGTCCCTTCTCAGAGACCCAGTGAAATCAAATTTGAAACCATGAAGCAGCACTTCTGTCATGTTCCAAAACAGTCCGAATCTGATGAGAAGAACACTGATTCAACAAAAAAGAATGCCTTAACTTACTTAAAAGTAGAAGGTAAAACATTTTCTAACTTTCTGCCATTTATACCGTTTACTGTATTCAATTATTGATGATTGGAATTATTTTGTTGCAGAGTTTATAGCGAAAGTGATGAGCTGGTACAAGAATTGGTCTGAAAAAGACAGTAAGCTGTAGCGCGTGCAGCAACAAGTTGTGTCTGTTAAATATGAACCCAATAATGATAATCATTGTCACGAAAATGTGGCAAGAACACCTTTTTACACAGCAATATATGTTTGGGTGAATGTTGGAGTGCTTCATTTATTAATCTTGCTAGCCAGATTCGGATGGAAGCCAGCTTTGTAATTATCGCGTACTCCAAACATGTCTGTTACAAAACCAAGGTTGTTTATGGCGTATCTTTGTCGTACGCTTATTCCTTACTTCAATACAAACAATTTTATCTTATTTTGAATTTTACTGTTAAATTAGAAGTGAAGTGAGTTTTTTTTTTTCGGATTGATAAACCAATCTAATATACCACGAATTCAATCTAAATGAAACGATTTTTAATGGGTTGATGCCATTTTTATTTATATTAAAATTTAATATTCTTACCTCAACTAAATTTAAATTTGTAATAAATTAAATTGAGTCATAATTTTTAATCTATTTTTTCCATTAGTAACATCTACAGGATTTGTTTTACAATAAAGGAAAATGTATGGACCAATTTCTACATGTTGTAAATACTTTCCATAAAAATCTTGTTATTGTGTAGATCTTTTCTAGAAATAAAGAATGGCCCTTCTTAGCCACAAAAATGATTTTGGACACTTGTACATGGCAACAAAGCCGTACATAATGCGACGATTTGGTTTCGTTTTCATTTTCAACTAATTTACTTTATTTTGATGGCATCCCATGCAACACATTTCTACACCTAATCACTTACTTCTTTGCTATCACACGCAACAACGACCTTTCCTTTGCCACACCAATCGTCGTCACCCTATTTAATTTGGCTAAATTACATTTTCAAAATAGCAATTTTTGTAATACTTTTTTAAAAAGGTATTTTTTTTCTTCTTCAAAATAAATTGAAACTGACCGTATTTATTTTCTAAAAGCATTTTTACACCCATTCACATGATATTCCATTAAATTCTAATTACTAATTCACGACTAAAAGGAACGAAAAGGTTCCAATTAAAACAACATTAGATTAATGGCAATTTGAATATACTTTTTTTTTTTAATTTTGGAATGACAAAGTTCGGTAGATCTCACTTATAGCTATGTAATTCGGAGAACATTTAACCAATAGTATAATTCGTGCTTAAATTTTGTCACAGATCTTTATTTTATATATATCCTAAAACATGAATCGATGTAATTGTTTTGAAATTGTGGCCTTAATGATTTTAGGAGTCATAATCGTTTTAAGTATAGAAGGAAGCAGTAGTGGTGTTGTGTGGTAGTATATGATAAGACCGTGTCCAAATAACAAATATATTTAATGTTATTATTATTAGAACACTATTAACTTAAAACGCTCCATTAATCATAAAATTAATGACAACTAATCTGATAATCGTCGATTGTGAGTTGGTGAGAAGTGAGCGAAACGTTGACAGTTAGATTAAGGAAAATTTCATTTCAGCAATCATCGGGAGAAAATAGATTGTTAGAAAGTTTTGATTTGGAATGGCAACAAAAGTGCAGCGGGAAAAAGTAATTAATACGATTATTTTATTAATACAGGATTAGTTATTAACACGTGACATTTATAAATTAATAAATGTCTGATTGAAATTTAGAATGAGAGGTGTATTTTAGATGTAAAATAAAAGAATTGTTGTCGGTCAGCTGTCGTAATGCGCGACGAGAGAAAGAAAGAGAGAACGTAAGGGTCGTTTTGTGGTATGATGATGAACGGTGATTGCTAGTGACAGAAAGGGTAGAGAGAGAGAGAGCTAGCAGCATGAGTGGCGGAGGAGAAGAAGGAGAGAGTCTGGAGTTCACTCCCACGTGGGTGGTGGCCGCCGTATGCACAGTCATCGTCGCCATCTCCCTCGCCGCAGAGCGCTTTCTTCATTTTGGCGGAAAATATCTCAAAGCCAAAGACCAGAAGCCGCTCTACGAAGCACTGCAGAAGATTAAAGAAGGTTTTCTTTTTCTTTTTCTTTTTCTTTTCTTTTCTCTTCTCTTCTTTTCTTTTCTTTTCTTTTCTTTTCCTTTCTCACCCATGTTTCGATCAAATTCAAATCCGAGTTCACGATCTATCTCTGCACTGCTTCAGAGCTCATGCTTTTGGGCTTCATTTCCCTCCTTTTGACGGTTACACAAAATGGCATTACCAAAATCTGCGTTCCGCCGGCCTTCACGCGCCACATGCTTCCGTGTAGCCTTGACCTCGCTCCCAAACATGAATCTCATTTCCAGACATTTTATTTCCCGGGAACACCCAGACGCCTTCTCGCTGCCACTGCGGCGGAACACGCGCCGCCCCACTCCGAGGCTGAGGCGACTGAGACTGGAACCGAGACTGGGTTCTGCGCTCGCAAGGTCGCTCACTAATTGTAACTATTATGAACATTAAATCGCATCTTCGAATTACCCCACCCACGCCCGTTTCGCTTTTCACTTTTCAGCATAAGGTGCCTTTGTTGTCTGTGGAAGCACTGCACCATCTCCACATCTTCATTTTTGTATTGGCTGTCGTACACGTCGCCTTTTCCGTACTCACCGTTGTCTTTGGAGGTGCCAGAGTGAGTTCTATGCCCCCTTTCCCATCATCAACTCAATTATTTTCTTTTTTCTTTTTTCACTTTCCTCGCTTTTCTCTGTTCATGCTATCACTCTCTTTCTATATACAGATTCGTCAATGGAAACACTGGGAAGATTCAATTGCAAAAAAGAACTACGAAACCGACCGAGGTACATTATTTCTTTTCTTTCCTTTCCTCAATTCTTTCTGCATCCTCCTCTTTCTGTCTTCAATTGCTTTTATTATTCCTGTGCATTTTTTATTGTTGATAAATATAACATGCTTTATGCTTTTGGTATCGCCTAATTTTACTTTGTGTCAACTAAAGCATCACACCTTTGCAAAGAATTTTGTAGTTCTTTTTAAATCTTTTTATTTCCTCTACCCCACTTATACTCCCGTTGGTTTAATGCAGTTCTGAAACCAAAGGTGACCGATGTTCAGCAGCATGATTTTATCAGGGGCCGTTTTTCTGGTTTTGGGAAAGATTCTGCTATAGTCGGTTGGATGGTAAGTAAATTTCAAGTTTGCCATAGTCTGTAAGTTTAATGAATACAATAAATGAAGATATACTGATGTCATCTTTGGGTCCTTGGCAATTAAAAGCCTTTTGTGGCTAATTTAAAGATACACCGCTGCATCTTTGGTTGGGTCCTTAACATTTACAAGCTTTATATACTGGAACCGCACATGTACCATATATCTTTGGTATCCCTGCTGATTGTATTTGTCCAGTCTTGCTTCACCTCAATCCGTATACTTCCATCTTATACTTCCAATCTTATCAAAGGTTTTTTAAATATTGGTTCGTTTTAGATCTTGTTTTTAATTTTGATACACTTTTTCCCTGATGTTTGATCACCACCGCGTAGTTATTTTCTTCCACCACACAACAAATAAACTTGGAAAGTCAAAGCTAAGCAAGTGCCTTTTTAGTATTTTTGTTTCTTTTTAGTTATCTCTCCTAATCATTTGTTGCTTCTTTCAGATATCCTTTTCTAAGCAATTTTATGGATCTGTCACAAAATCAGATTATGTGACGTTACGACATGGTTTCATTATGGTAAAGCTCTAGTGTGCCATATTTGTTGTCAAATTAGTAATAGTAATGTCTCAGCTAGCTATTGGCCAATGGCTTCGATGCTTGAGTAGTAAAATTTATCTTTTCTTGTTGTTTAGACCCACTGCAAGTCAAATCCGAAGTTTAATTTTCACAAGTACATGATTCGCGCCCTTGAAGATGATTTCAAGCAAGTTGTTGGTATAAGGTAAGTTCTTTTATATTATTGCTTCTATGCGTGTATGACAATTATACACCATTTAATTGCGAATAAAACTTTAGTGCCAGTTCTTTTGTAATAACAATTACATTTTGTGTTTGCAGTTGGTATCTTTGGCTCTTTGTGGTTATCTTCTTGTTGCTCAATATCAATGGTATGCTATAAGATATAAAGTTATGCTTCTCGTATGTCATCAATTAATTGTCTTTGCCTAGACTGACACTTTACAATGTCAAGACTGGCATCTAAAACCCGGTTTTATGTTTTTATGTTTACCTCATGATCTTGTTTATGGACTGTGGTAGTGTTATATATCTCTTCGTGTATTTCGTAATGAAGTTAATTTAAATAACATTCTGGTGTAGAAAAGGAAATGAGCTTAAGAATTATTTTTTATGACTTGACAGTTAACAATACTGACCAATATATTTTTGCCTATTATTTTGCATGACTTGGTGATGAATATCAAGCATGCCAGTTAACAATATTGACCAATATACATTTGCCTATAGCTAGTAATTGATCAAGTTATATTTTTTTGCGCATGTTAATTAACATCACTTGGTATCTTGTTATTAAGACGTCTGCTTAACTTTTCCAGGTTGGCATACATATTTCTGGATTGCTTTTGTTCCTGTCATTGTAAGTATCTTTATTAAATTTTTGACCCTTTCTGAGTGGACGTTACATGTCCGTGCATTCATTTTACCTGGCTTACATACCCTTCTTGTAATAATTTTGTTGGAGGGATATTTTGTTTACATTTTTGCAAGGAGTTTCTTAATCAAATCAAGCAACTATACAGTACAAAACTATTGTTTCTATTAAACTGGTGTCATACCTTGATTTTCTACTGCTGCATAGATACAAGGTGATTGGTTCAACAATTTCCTTAAAATTTCTGTAACTAGTATAATATCGTATCTTTTAGTATTTGGAAAAAAGACTGCCTCTTAACACTTATTTCCGGACATATTTTTAGTGTCATTCCCACCAAATCATACCAGGTAGGCAGGTATAGTCTTTTTTCGGTTAAAGTTAATCAAGCTCAGTCTCCAAAAGATCTTGGAAGGTCACCTTTTGCTCACGGTTAATGACGAGTTTTTGTATTGGTTTACAAGGCTTGAACTGTGTAAGAAAATAAAGATTTATTTTATTGATAACAATCACATCAATTACACCAAAACCTTTAAAAAAGAAAACAAAAATATGCTGAAATAAGTAGGAAGATTCTTAAGATGTTTTTTCAAAATTACTATTGAGATATTGAGATCTTAACCTGCTATTTAGGACAAGAAGGATAGAGAAAGGGGGAGATATACTTGCAAAGGCACCTTAACACCTGCATCAGTAACAATATATTGGAAGGGTGCGTGTATCTTGTGTCTCTGTTTGGGCTCTATTCTGTTGTTTTGCTTCACTGGGACTCATGTCTGGGTAGCTGAGTGTGGCCACTAGGCAATCGTCATAGAATGTGGATTCCGTTATTGGCTGAATATTCTAGAACCCCTTGTAAGTGAAATGTAAGGAGGTGCTGTCAGCGCTTTTCGATTATTAGTGTTTGGTGAATTGGGCCCTTGCTGCTTAGTCCGGAACAGGAGTTATCGATGTGACGTATCTTACCAAATGGGATGTAGGTGGGTAGAAGGATTTTTTTTTTATTTTAGCGATGCTTTTGTCTTGTAATTTGTAATCAAGCATTCTTCTCAATCAGTTTTTAAGCCATAAGAGTACCGACTGTAGGCAGGACAGGTTTTCAGGAATACCATTCCTATGAGTATTCTACAGGCTTTCAGGAATACCTATCCTATGAGTATTATTCGAAGGAATTTTGATCCTGGAAACAACTAGTATTATTTTGTCTTCTGAAACAAATGCCCTTAAGAATGACATTTGTTAGTGGTTACTTTGGGACTTTTCGTTTTTTCAATTTTCCAATTATTATTTTTGTTGATAGGTCACATTTGTGCTAGTGTTTGGCTTTCTACTGGTGCTTTCTTGTTAAATCCGTTTGCACTGGCATGCATCTATTTGTTCGTGCAAGTTGACATAATAGTAGGCTTTCTATGTTTGGAATATCCTTATTTTTTTTATTGTCCCCGTACTGTATCTGCCCTTCATAATTTCATAATTCTGGTTTGCATTTCTTTCAGCTTTTGCTTGCTGTGGGCACTAAGCTCGAGCATGTAATAACTCAACTAGCTCATGAAGTGGCTGAAAAACATGCAGCCATAGAAGGTGACTTAGTTGTGCAGCCATCAGATGAACACTTTTGGTTTCATCGGCCCCGTGTTGTCCTCTTCTTAATTCACTTTATCCTTTTCCAAAATGCCTTTGAGATAGCATTTTTTTTCTGGATATGGGTAAGCAAATAATTCTCTTGAAGAATAAGTTGGTTGTGGGGGTAATTATTTGTAGTTGTGTTGAATATAATGAAGCCCCTGGCGCTCACTTCTCAGGTTACATATGGGTTTGACTCGTGTATAATGGGGCAAGTTCGATACATTATTCCAAGGCTCGTTATTGGGTAACTGTTAACAATTTAACAATTTTCTTTTGAGCAATATGAATTCTTTCTTTGTGACTATCAAACTATTTAGCTGAATCTTTTCTTTTTTCATTTCCTTCTATATATTGGGATTACAGGGTATTTATTCAGGTATTATGTAGCTACAGCACCCTGCCACTCTATGCAATAGTGACGCAGGTAGGCTTGCGTAGCTTTTCAAACTAAAATGCTGATTAATTATGAATTTAAGTAGTGTCCTCTTTGCATTGACTTCCATAATTTCACACTGTAGATGGGAACTCACTATAAGAGGGCAATATTTAATGAGCATTTGCAACACAACATTGTTGGTTGGGCACAAAAGGCGAAGAAGAGGAAAGAACTAAAAGCTGATGGCCGTCCTGCCCAAGGAAGTTCTCAGGAGAGTGGTAATACAGGAATCCAGCTTGGCTCAATTTTCCCGAAGAAGGCATCTGCTCCAGGCGACACTTCTTCTGCCCCCAAAGATGACGGAACCAGCTGACTGTGCATGTATAACTGAACAATTACTATCTTATTATGTAAAGTTGCACACAAATTGCACTTTTCTTTATATTATTTTCTTTGATAACTTAGTGTAGTGTAGCATTTTGGAACATTTGTGTGAGTAGATGGCGCCATTGTCATTTCCAAGAGCACTCAGTCATCGGATTAGGATCACCTGCACTGCAAAAAAAACTGTAGGATCTTCCAGTTTTAACTAGTGTGAAACATTCTTGCTTTGTATTTTTATTTTATATTTAATGAGTAAAAATGTTTTCGATAATGAGATTTATGCCNTTTTTTTTTTCGGATTGATAAACCAATCTAATATACCACGAATTCAATCTAAATGAAACGATTTTTAATGGGTTGATGCCATTTTTATTTATATTAAAATTTAATATTCTTACCTCAACTAAATTTAAATTTGTAATAAATTAAATTGAGTCATAATTTTTAATCTATTTTTTCCATTAGTAACATCTACAGGATTTGTTTTACAATAAAGGAAAATGTATGGACCAATTTCTACATGTTGTAAATACTTTCCATAAAAATCTTGTTATTGTGTAGATCTTTTCTAGAAATAAAGAATGGCCCTTCTTAGCCACAAAAATGATTTTGGACACTTGTACATGGCAACAAAGCCGTACATAATGCGACGATTTGGTTTCGTTTTCATTTTCAACTAATTTACTTTATTTTGATGGCATCCCATGCAACACATTTCTACACCTAATCACTTACTTCTTTGCTATCACACGCAACAACGACCTTTCCTTTGCCACACCAATCGTCGTCACCCTATTTAATTTGGCTAAATTACATTTTCAAAATAGCAATTTTTGTAATACTTTTTTAAAAAGGTATTTTTTTTCTTCTTCAAAATAAATTGAAACTGACCGTATTTATTTTCTAAAAGCATTTTTACACCCATTCACATGATATTCCATTAAATTCTAATTACTAATTCACGACTAAAAGGAACGAAAAGGTTCCAATTAAAACAACATTAGATTAATGGCAATTTGAATATACTTTTTTTTTTTAATTTTGGAATGACAAAGTTCGGTAGATCTCACTTATAGCTATGTAATTCGGAGAACATTTAACCAATAGTATAATTCGTGCTTAAATTTTGTCACAGATCTTTATTTTATATATATCCTAAAACATGAATCGATGTAATTGTTTTGAAATTGTGGCCTTAATGATTTTAGGAGTCATAATCGTTTTAAGTATAGAAGGAAGCAGTAGTGGTGTTGTGTGGTAGTATATGATAAGACCGTGTCCAAATAACAAATATATTTAATGTTATTATTATTAGAACACTATTAACTTAAAACGCTCCATTAATCATAAAATTAATGACAACTAATCTGATAATCGTCGATTGTGAGTTGGTGAGAAGTGAGCGAAACGTTGACAGTTAGATTAAGGAAAATTTCATTTCAGCAATCATCGGGAGAAAATAGATTGTTAGAAAGTTTTGATTTGGAATGGCAACAAAAGTGCAGCGGGAAAAAGTAATTAATACGATTATTTTATTAATACAGGATTAGTTATTAACACGTGACATTTATAAATTAATAAATGTCTGATTGAAATTTAGAATGAGAGGTGTATTTTAGATGTAAAATAAAAGAATTGTTGTCGGTCAGCTGTCGTAATGCGCGACGAGAGAAAGAAAGAGAGAACGTAAGGGTCGTTTTGTGGTATGATGATGAACGGTGATTGCTAGTGACAGAAAGGGTAGAGAGAGAGAGAGCTAGCAGCATGAGTGGCGGAGGAGAAGAAGGAGAGAGTCTGGAGTTCACTCCCACGTGGGTGGTGGCCGCCGTATGCACAGTCATCGTCGCCATCTCCCTCGCCGCAGAGCGCTTTCTTCATTTTGGCGGAAAATATCTCAAAGCCAAAGACCAGAAGCCGCTCTACGAAGCACTGCAGAAGATTAAAGAAGGTTTTCTTTTTCTTTTTCTTTTTCTTTTCTTTTCTCTTCTCTTCTTTTCTTTTCTTTTCTTTTCTTTTCCTTTCTCACCCATGTTTCGATCAAATTCAAATCCGAGTTCACGATCTATCTCTGCACTGCTTCAGAGCTCATGCTTTTGGGCTTCATTTCCCTCCTTTTGACGGTTACACAAAATGGCATTACCAAAATCTGCGTTCCGCCGGCCTTCACGCGCCACATGCTTCCGTGTAGCCTTGACCTCGCTCCCAAACATGAATCTCATTTCCAGACATTTTATTTCCCGGGAACACCCAGACGCCTTCTCGCTGCCACTGCGGCGGAACACGCGCCGCCCCACTCCGAGGCTGAGGCGACTGAGACTGGAACCGAGACTGGGTTCTGCGCTCGCAAGGTCGCTCACTAATTGTAACTATTATGAACATTAAATCGCATCTTCGAATTACCCCACCCACGCCCGTTTCGCTTTTCACTTTTCAGCATAAGGTGCCTTTGTTGTCTGTGGAAGCACTGCACCATCTCCACATCTTCATTTTTGTATTGGCTGTCGTACACGTCGCCTTTTCCGTACTCACCGTTGTCTTTGGAGGTGCCAGAGTGAGTTCTATGCCCCCTTTCCCATCATCAACTCAATTATTTTCTTTTTTCTTTTTTCACTTTCCTCGCTTTTCTCTGTTCATGCTATCACTCTCTTTCTATATACAGATTCGTCAATGGAAACACTGGGAAGATTCAATTGCAAAAAAGAACTACGAAACCGACCGAGGTACATTATTTCTTTTCTTTCCTTTCCTCAATTCTTTCTGCATCCTCCTCTTTCTGTCTTCAATTGCTTTTATTATTCCTGTGCATTTTTTATTGTTGATAAATATAACATGCTTTATGCTTTTGGTATCGCCTAATTTTACTTTGTGTCAACTAAAGCATCACACCTTTGCAAAGAATTTTGTAGTTCTTTTTAAATCTTTTTATTTCCTCTACCCCACTTATACTCCCGTTGGTTTAATGCAGTTCTGAAACCAAAGGTGACCGATGTTCAGCAGCATGATTTTATCAGGGGCCGTTTTTCTGGTTTTGGGAAAGATTCTGCTATAGTCGGTTGGATGGTAAGTAAATTTCAAGTTTGCCATAGTCTGTAAGTTTAATGAATACAATAAATGAAGATATACTGATGTCATCTTTGGGTCCTTGGCAATTAAAAGCCTTTTGTGGCTAATTTAAAGATACACCGCTGCATCTTTGGTTGGGTCCTTAACATTTACAAGCTTTATATACTGGAACCGCACATGTACCATATATCTTTGGTATCCCTGATGATTGTATTTGTCCAGTCTTGCTTCACCTCAATCCGTATACTTCCATCTTATACTTCCAATCTTATCAAAGGTTTTTTAAATATTGGTTCGTTTTAGATCTTGTTTTTAATTTTGATACACTTTTTCCCTGATGTTTGATCACCACCGCGTAGTTATTTTCTTCCACCACACAACAAATAAACTTGGAAAGTCAAAGCTAAGCAAGTGCCTTTTTAGTATTTTTGTTTCTTTTTAGTTATCTCTCCTAATCATTTGTTGCTTCTTTCAGATATCCTTTTCTAAGCAATTTTATGGATCTGTTACAAAATCAGATTATGTGACGTTACGACATGGTTTCATTATGGTAAAGCTCTAGTGTGCCATATTTGTTGTCAAATTAGTAATAGTAATGTCTCAGCTAGCTATTGGCCAATGGCTTCGATGCTTGAGTAGTAAAATTTATCTTTTCTTGTTGTTTAGACCCACTGCAAGTCAAATCCGAAGTTTAATTTTCACAAGTACATGATTCGCGCCCTTGAAGATGATTTCAAGCAAGTTGTTGGTATAAGGTAAGTTCTTTTATATTATTGCTTCTATGCGTGTATGACAATTATACACCATTTAATTGCGAATAAAACTTTAGTGCCAGTTCTTTTGTAATAACAATTACATTTTGTGTTTGCAGTTGGTATCTTTGGCTCTTTGTGGTTATCTTCTTGTTGCTCAATATCAATGGTATGCTATAAGATATAAAGTTATGCTTCTCGTATGTCATCAATTAATTGTCTTTGCCTAGACTGACACTTTACAATGTCAAGACTGGCATCTAAAACCCGGTTTTATGTTTTTATGTTTACCTCATGATCTTGTTTATGGACTGTGGTAGTGTTATATATCTCTTCGTGTATTTCGTAATGAAGTTAATTTAAATAACATTCTGGTGTAGAAAAGGAAATGAGCTTAAGAATTATTTTTTATGACTTGACAGTTAACAATACTGACCAATATATTTTTGCCTATTATTTTGCATGACTTGGTGATGAATATCAAGCATGCCAGTTAACAATATTGACCAATATACATTTGCCTATAGCTAGTAATTGATCAAGTTATATTTTTTTGCGCATGTTAATTAACATCACTTGGTATCTTGTTATTAAGACGTCTGCTTAACTTTTCCAGGTTGGCATACATATTTCTGGATTGCTTTTGTTCCTGTCATTGTAAGTATCTTTATTAAATTTTTGACCCTTTCTGAGTGGACGTTACATGTCCGTGCATTCATTTTACCTGGCTTACATACCCTTCTTGTAATAATTTTGTTGGAGGGATATTTTGTTTACATTTTTGCAATGAGTTTCTTAATCAAATCAAGCAACTATACAGTACAAAACTATTGTTTCTATTAAACTGGTGTCATACCTTGATTTTCTACTGCTGCATAGATACAAGGTGATTGGTTCAACAATTTCCTTAAAATTTCTGTAACTAGTATAATATCGTATCTTTTAGTATTTGGAAAAAAGACTGCCTCTTAACACTTATTTCCGGACATATTTTTAGTGTCATTCCCACCAAATCATACCAGGTAGGCAGGTATAGTCTTTTTTTGGTTATAGTTAATCAAGCTCAGTCTCCAAAAGATCTTGGAAGGTCACCTTTTGCTCACGGTTAATGACGAGTTTTTGTATTGGTTTACAAGGCTTGAACTGTGTAAGAAAATAAAGATTTATTTTATTGATAACAATCACATCAATTACACCAAAACCTTTAAAAAAGAAAACAAAAATATGCTGAAATAAGTAGGAAGATTCTTAAGATTTTTTTTCAAAATTACTATTGAGATATTGAGATCTTAATCTGCTATTTAGGACAAGAAGGATAGAGAAAGGGGGAGATATACTTGCAAAGGCACCTTAACACCTGCATCAGTAACAATATATTGGAAGGGTGCGTGTATCTTGTGTCTCTGTTTGGGCTCT